GAACTCCAAGGATTGTTCAAGAATATAATGTGACAACTACTTGTAGAATTAGAAACTTGGGCAAATTGGTTAGAATCCAACATCAGTCCTCTATGTTCCCAACACACATCTGTGGTATGTTTCACTTGCTATTTTCTATTAAGAAACACCCCAAATCCCCAAATTATGAAGATGATGATATTATAGGGAGTTATCAAGCTGTTATAAACCCTTTTGATGAAGTGGAAGAAGTTAATCCTTTCTATGTTAATCCTTTATTCTTTTCAAATTTGTATGATTTTGATTACTGATCTATGATTATGAACTTGTAGAACCGTTCAAGGCTTTCACCTCTTCCTCCAGAACCAGTTGCTCTCAACTATGGTTGTGATGCAAATCATGATATCTCTCTTGCTACAGTTACTAGACCCAATTTTAAGGTTAGCGTATTTATTTGATTCTGTCTCCCTGCATGCCACTTCTTGCTTGTTTTATGAAAGTGAGCAATGATTATGGTTTTCTGATTTACACTGTTCAAATTATCTTAGGAATTGAAGAGGAAAGGGAGGGAGATTGGCCATGGTAGTTGAACGTAACCAGCAACATGAGGTATATCAGGGAGATTGAACTTGTGAAACATGCAGACTTTTACAAGTTTCACTCATCTGTTTCTTTTAGGATATACAACACAGGAAATGAAGCGGGAAAGAAGAGGATTTAGCAAGAGGTAACTTGTAGTTTATGCTATAGTTTGTTGATTACTCATAATATCCACATAGTGGCCTGTTTCTATTTCCTTTTATGGTCAATTAGCCTTTCATTCACGCCATGACAATCTAGAACTTGCCTTGTGATTTTTTGTTCTGGCCACCATTTGCCCCAGTTGTTCATAATGATATTACAAATGATATGCTGATTTATTGACAAAAGTTGATGTTTATTGCCCTTCCATCATTCTTAGGTATGCAAGCTTTTTGCATTTTTACTTTTCGTTGTGGTTATTTTAGCCTTGCATTTTGGTATATTATATTTATTGACTGAATTCATGCAATTTTATACATGATGTTATTTATAGTTATCAATCAACACCTCTATTGATGTATGTTATGATTGGTAAATGTATTTTTTTTCCTTATGCAGGATTGGTTTTGTGCTTTTTCTGGAATGACATAACTGCTATTGCAGCATGCATCAAAAGGGAAATATGGAAGCATCATACTGGGGAATTGGATCTCGTCTTCCCATCATGGTGACAGTTCGCAACATCTTACAAGAACTAAAGATGAAACATTACTGTTTTGAACAAATACACAATTGTCAGAATATCAAAAACATGTTCATATATTTGTTTATGCCTTATGGTGAACGGAAGGGAAAAACTCTTGACAGGAAATAGAGATTTGACCCTAAAGATTTTGCTGATTGTGTTTTCATTGGTTCTTACTGGGGCTACCTAATACATGGAATGAGATTATGTATGCATCTTTGTTGAGCAATTGTAAAAATCTTTGTGATCTATCTAAACCTCCTTTGGATATCTGATGACACACTTTATACTAGTGTACTCTAGACTCTTTGTGCGCACTGTTTTTTGTGTTTTCTTTAGGTCAATGTCTTGCTTTTACAAAAAGTCAAAAACTCAGAAAGTATAATATGTTATTTTAAATAACTAGAGTAATAAAAATTAAAATTTTTTCTCAAAATTATGGGGGGAAAGAATGTGATTATTATCATTATAAGAAGTGTTAAAGTTATTAATTTTTATTTTTTTATAAATAGTGTTTAAAAATATTAATTTATTAATTAATAAATAT